CGGGATGCGGTTTCCCTGTTCTATGCTTCCCGTCTCGCGTGTCGGCAGGCGGTGCTGGGTTCCTCCGTGGAATCTGCTTGGGCTCTGGCTCTTAGGCGTTCTTCCCCTTTTTGTCCTCTCCTGTTTGGGGAGTCGGCCGTGGCGCAGTTTATTCAGGCTGCGTCGGCGGCTTGTCGTCCGATGTCGGACTTGTTGGTTTTCCGGGGGTCCCGGGGTGGGTCTTCCCGGAAAGGTCGTGCCAGGGCTCGGGGTTCCTCTCGTCGTGGTAGGCCTCTGGTGTCAGGTTTGGGGTTGGCTCCTCCTGCGGACCCTCCCTCGTCTGGTCGGCGCGGTGTTCGCGCTGTGCGGGGTTCTGGGTCTCGTAAGGGTCGCCGGCCCTTTCGCGGTTTGCCCCTTTGACGGGGCGATGGGGGGGCGGCTTGCGCTGTTCGCCTGCGCCTGGTCCCACGATTCGTGGGCCTTTCGGGTCGTGTCTCGCGGCCTGCGGTGGCGTTGGGTGGCCCCTCCCCCCTTTGGGGGGTCGGGGCTGGCGGGGCAGGCTTCTTCCCCTGCGCTCTGTCGAGTCGTCTTGGAGTGGGTACGCTTGGGCGTCGTCGAAACGACGTCGTCCCTCAGATGGGTTTCCCGTCTGTTTCCGGTTCCGAAACGGGACTGCGCGGACCTGCGGTTCATTCTGGACTTGTCCCGTCTGAACCCCTGGGTTCATTGCCCCTCCTTTCGGATGACTACGCTGTCTCAGGTTCGGCTCCTCTTGGAGCCGGGTGCTTGGATGGTGTCCCTGGACCTCCGGGACGCTTATTGGCATGTCCCGATTCATCCGCGGTTCAGGGACTGGCTCGGTTTTGTAGTGGGGCGTCTGAGTTACCGCTTTCGTTGTCTCCCGTTCGGGTTGAACCTGGCACCTCGCGTGTTCACACGCCTTACACGGGTTGTGGTGGCTCGTTTGCGTCTCCTAGGTGTTCGGGTGTTGGCCTACCTCGACGACTGGCTGGTTTGGGCTCCCAGCCAGTCAGCTTGCTTGCTAGCCAGGGATTTGGTTCTTTCCCAGCTCGCCGGGTTCGGGTTCTTGGTGAACTGGAGGAAGTCCCATCTGGTTCCCTCTCAGATTCGGGCTTGGCTGGGTCTCGTGTGGGACTCTCGGACCGCCTCCTTGTCTCTCCCTCCGGAGTCTCTCCTGCGGCTGCGGTCCCGCCTTCGTCTGTTTCTGGAGGGCCCTCAGGTCACCCGGCGGTTGCTCGAGGGGCTGTGCGGGAGCCTGAACTTCGCGATGGTGGTCTACCCGCCGGGTCGGGTTTGGCTTCGACGGCTGTTCTGGTTCCTTCGGAGTTCCCCCTTCCGCCTCTCTCGCGATCGCAGAGTTCGACCCCCGGGGGCCTTGCGTCGGTTGCTGCGTCACCGGCTTCCTCTTCGGGTTTTTCGGGGTTCAGTGCCTTGGCGCCTACCCGAGCCCTCGCTCGATGTGTACACAGATGCGTCATCTCTCGGCTGGGGTTTTGTGACCAGTGCTCACCAGGCCGGCCAGGGGCGTTGGGATCTGTCCTTCCGTCGAGCTCACAGCACGGTGCGGGAGTTCGCGGCAGTGTGGTTTGCTCTGGGGAGGATTCGGGTGGACCGCGGATCGACGATTCGGCTCCATTCGGACTGCTCTCCGGTGGTTCATTGCCTGAACGGCGGGGGTTCGATGCGGTCCTTGTCTCTTTGGGGTTGGTCGCTTCGGGTGACTCGTCTGCTGAGTTCTCGGGGTTTGGCTCTCCTGGCGGTTCACGTGCGGGGCGTGTCCAACGTCTTGGCCGACGCCCTGTCTCGCTTCGTTCCCCTCTCCACGGAGTGGACGGTCGACGACGAGTCCTTCCGTTGGCTTTGCCAGACGTTCGGGCGCCCCGAGGTGGACCTCTTCGCGTCGGCGTGGTCGCGGCGTCTTCCCGTTTATGCGGCGCCCTTCCCCGATTGCGAGGCCGTCGGGGTCGATGCCTTTCGGCTAGACTGGTCGTGGTGGGGGTTCCTGTACCTCTTTCCCCCGGTTCGGCTGTTGCTCCAGGTCCTGACTCGCTTAGAGACTTACCGGGGAAGAGTTGTCCTTCTGGCCCCTTGGTTTCAGGCGCTGGTTGCTCGGTGTCCGAACCCGAGGGTTTTCCCGCGGCTCCGCCTCTTTCAGCAGATCGGGCCGGTACGTCACGTAGCTGGTTCGATCTTCTCCTCGAGTCTTCGCGTATGGTTTTTTTTTTGACTCGAGTCTATCATCATCTCTATGGTGATCAGGTGGCCTCCTTGTTGGTGTCCCACCTGAGGGCTTCTTCTCGGCGGCAGTATGAAGTTTCCTGGCGGTCCTTCCGTTTCTTTTTGCGTCTTCGTCGTGTTAGCTCCTTGTCTGTTCGGGTGGTCTTGTCCTTCCTCTCGTGGTTGTTTTCAGGACCGTCATCTTATGCCTACCACTGTCGCTTCGTATCGTGCGGCGCTGGCGGAGCCGCTTCAGCTTGCTTTCGGTATCGGTGTTACGTCTGCGCCGTTTCGCAAGCTGTCTCGTGCATTGTTTCACCTCCGGCCTGCTCATGCGTCGCCTGAGCCGTCCTGGTCTTTGGACAGAGTGCTCGCTTTCCTTTCATCTCCTCGTTTCGTTGTGGCCCCTTCGGTCCAGGATTGTTTTTCCAAGGCACTTTTCTTGTTGGCTTTGGCCTCTGGGGGTCGGGTAGGGGAGCTTCATGCTCTCCTCCGGCGCAGGGGTTTCTGCTCTTTTGGTCGTGGTGATAGTTTTGTTCGTTTGCAGCCGTCTCCTTCTTTTCTGGCGAAGAATGAGACTGCTGCGTTCCGGAGGGGTCCATGGGTGGTTGATGCTTGGTTGGTCAGGCCGGGGGTGCATCATGTTTTGTGTCCGGTTGCGGCGCTTCGCCGTTATTTGCGCGCCACAGCTTCTGTGTCCGGGGACGCGCTGTGGGTTGATCCGGTTTCCCTTCTTCCCTGTTCGTGGGTTCGGGTCTCTCAGGTCGTCCGCAGGGTTATTAGGTCTAGCCAGCCTGCGGTCTATCCCCGTGCCCATGACGTTCGTAAGTTCGCGGCTCTTGCTGCCGTCTTTGGGAATATGTCTTGGTCTGATATTCGGGCGCGGGGATTTTGGCGGTCGAACAGGGTCCTGGCTGCTCGTTACCTTGTGAATGTCCCTGGCCCTCGTCGGGCCTGTGTTGCTTTGGGTCGGCAGTTGCAGCCAGTTGTCTCGGCTTCGAGTTGAGGGGTGAGCGACTTTTGAACGAGTTCCGTGATGACCCTCGTGAAATTTTGCCATGATATTTTTGTGCCATGTTCGCCCATCAGCTCCCTTCTAGAGATGGTTTCAACTTCCTCTCCTCATTCCTTGATAGTTACCTCGCTGGTAATCTAGAAATTCATCATCTTGACCTCTATGTCGGTTTCTATATTCGTAGTTCATCTTAAAAAATGGTGATCGCACGAGTGGGTTAGTTTACCCCCCAAAAAATTTGATCAGTCATACCCTCTTCTGTTAGCACAAGATCTAATATGCTGTTACCACGTGTGGGCTCTACTACATGCTGTATGAGGAAGGAGTTCTGCACAAGGTTGAGTAATTGTTCACCTTCTGCTTGAGATGTGAGGTTGATTTAATCTATGGTCTCATGGTTAAAGTCCTCCATTATTAGGGTTTAGGTTTCAGATGCTGCTTTGATTACATTATGCAGATCTGCAATTTCCTCTGCCACTGCTGTGTCAGGCCTGTAGCATACTCCCGCAACTATTTTGCTACCATCTTGAGTTAGTATGTTGCACCATACAGACTGAGGAACCCATGGTGTTCAGTTGCTCACTGTTGGTTGCATCCAGGTCCTCCTTCACGTACAGCATCACCCCACATACTCTTGTTGTTCTGTCCTTGCTGAATGGTGGGTGTTAACCTGGGAGATGGAATTCCCCTTCTATTATGTCCTCTCAGCCCCATGTTTCACAGATGCCAATGATGTCGTTATTTTCAGTCTCGGCATATGACATAATTAATCAGATTTAGTTACTAGGCTTCTGGCATTTGTGTAGAAACAATTTAAATTTCTGACAGTATTCTTGGGGCTGAGAGACTGCTCCTATATTTAGCATATTACAACTGGAAAAGGTGCAAAGACCTGCAACTAAATGATTCCTAGAACTGAAGGACAATAGCTACGAAGAGAGGTTAGAGGCATTAAATATGCAAAAACTAGAAGGTAGAAGAAGAGGCAATATGATCACTGCATATAAAATGGTAACGGGTATCGATAAAATGGATAGGGAAAAAATCCTGAGACCTGGAACTACAACAACAACAGGTCATAAATTTAAATTAACTAAACAGAGCTGCCGAAGAAATATAAGCAAATTCACCTTTGCAAACAGAGTGGTAGACTGTTGGAATAAGTTAGGTGAGGTGGTGGTGGAGGCCAAACCGGTCGGTAGTTTCAAAATGTTGTATGACAGTGTGTTGAGAAGACGGGACACCAAGAGCATAGCTTTCAACATGTAACTACACTTACACAATTACACATTAGTAAACAAAAAAAATTACATATAGCATGTTGGGTGTACAATATTTGTGTTAAAATAGAGGTGTTTATAGTATAATATTTTTGCATCTGCATAGAGTTTGCAGATGAATTATAAGAAAAACTCTTAAAGATTAAAAATTTAATTTTGCATGACGCTGACAATAAATTGTGTTGATATTTTACAATTGTCGCCAATCTTCGAAAGTTGATGTAAGGAGAGGAAATTTGTAATGACTTAATTTGGTTGGCAGGGAATGTAAAATGTGTTATTTTTAGATGTATAACCTAGGTAAATTGACATGCACTTAGTAGGCTTATGTCTGTAGATATACATTCTTCTGTCTCTGGCTGAGTAAACTGATAGGAGACAATAGAAAAACAATAATTATTAATGCATCATGTGAAAATACTTTTTATCCTCCGGTACAGTGCAAAAGTCTTAGAGCATTCAACTAATGTACAGTATTTTTCTTTCAGGAAAATTCCCATCTGCAACAAAGAATCATATCACTTGAAGCTGTGTGTGCTAGTTTACGACAGTCAGTCAGCCGTAGTCCCAGCAGAAAAACCACAACTGCCCTTTTTGCTCTTATTTTTCTCTTCTCTCTTAACCTTGGACCTTTAACGTGAGTAATTATTTTGTCTTCATCAACATCTTTCTTTGAATCTGGAGGTGGAATTAGCATCTTAGTCTAAGGATTATTTTGCAACAAGGTTATTGATTTAAAGAATGTAATTATGGTCTTATTGTTAAATGTGTTGTTATTATTATCTAAGAAGAAGAAAGCAAGAGTAAAGGATGCCAAAAGCCTGTTAATATCAAACACCTTCAAGGTTCTACAGAGTGATAGATTTGTGTTCTGTCTTTTTAGCCCATTAATCCCGCTGAGAAATTAGTCATAAATGATACGTGTCTTGTCTTGGCAAGAAATTGCCAATGTCTAATATAAAATTACATTTGACTGATGATCATAGTAATTAAGTCTTAATATAACTTCTTCATAATTAAATTAAAGTTGAATCCAAATTATTGCAATTGCACAAGTCTTAAGGATGTTAGAATATGTACCTTAATTTTGGAGTGATGTGTGTGTGTGTGTTGTGGGCACTAGATGACTTAAAATAATTATACAGTACTGTATGTGATAGCTATTACATGTAGCATTCTGTCTCTGGAACAAGACAAATAAAGTCACTAAGGTGTTATGATATTAACCCTGCTAGAGATAGCATCCGGGTTAATTTCCAAGCAGATGGAAACATTGGAAGTTACATTAATGATATAGAAGTGCTAAGGTTTGAATTAAAGAGGGTAGTGGACAAATATAAAACATAACCAGGCCTTTTCTATAAATTTATTAAAAGCAAGCTGCATGTAAATGATGAAACCCTGAGATTGAAAATAGGAAACAAATTCACAGAGAAAAAACAAAAAATTTGTGAAACACTAAATGAACATTTCCAAAGTGTGTGTGTGCAAAATAAGGTTTTCAGAGAACCAGATACAATGCCAGTTTCAGAGAACACCATGGAGTACATAGGGGTGTCTGTAGACGAAGTGGAAAAATTACTGAAAGGACTACAGTAGGAATAAACAAAGTGGTTAGGCCAAATGGAGTTTCACCCTGGGTTCTGAGAGAATGTACACCTGACCTTAGCATTCCACTTCAACTGATATTTCAGACATCTTTGTGTACAGGAAGCTTAGCAGATAAATATGGAAATGGAACATAATTTCAATATACAAAAATGGTAGCAGAGAAGACTTCAAATTATAGACCTCTGTTGTTGATGTGTGGTAGCTTAAACAATTGAAAAAATCGTTAATACCAAATGAGTAGAATATCTGGTGAGAAATGATATAATAAGAGTATGGCTTTTGAACAGGGAGATCCTGTGTAACAAATCTACTTAGTTTCTGTGATAGAGCCACAGAGATTCTGAAGGAAAGAGATGGTTGGGTTGACTGCATTTATCTGGACCTAAAACAGGCTCTTAACAGTCCCACGTAAGAGGTTGTTTTGGAAACGAGAACAGCTACATAGACCATCATGCATGCAGGTAGATGTGAAAGAAAAGTGCCTTGTCTAATCAAATGTTTAACCCAAACCCTGAACACCTGGAAGACAAAGGTGTATGAAGCCATCGATAAGCATAATCACTACATAACCTGGTAACATACCCTGAGCTGGAGCACAGGATTCCAGGCCCATAGGGAGTAGAGCGAGACGAGATTACAACACAAGTACTGTACATAACTAACAACTACAGCTCCCAATCAACAGGCCTCCAGTAGATAGCAAAGTCTATGCACTACCCAAGCAGTCGCCAGTGGCATAGTGGTAAGATGCTTGCCTGGCATTTTGCAAGCGCTTTGGCTTTGGTTTGTATCCTAGCTGGGCAAAATTTTCTGGGCATCAATCCTTAACTGTAGCCTGTTTACCCAAAAGTTAAATGGGTACCTGGTTGTTAAACAATTGGCAGGTTGTATGCCGGGGAATATTAGAAGGTGAAGCGTTAGCCGTGATTTCAGCAGCGACGACACTGTTGTGATGCAGCGCTTTGAAAGTTTATACTTATTTCAACGTCATGACATTATTTCTCGAGCTACGTATTTCATTTTTATAGCAATGTGTTCGCAATAGAAAGTTCTATAAGAACATGGGTAGAATTGGCCAACAGAGCGTCAAATAAATTTGTGGCGAATAAAATCTTACGCGTGTTTGTACCAGTGAGCGTAAAAAGTTTTTACTTTGCTCATGTTTTTTCAAGTTTATACTTGATTCACTTCGTTTTTTTTGTTTGTATAGTGTTCGGAATAAAATTCTCTACACAGACATATGCATATAAATGTAGAATCATGATCGCGGCCAACACAAGAGTGTGTGGAGTGGGCGATTACCCTCGTTGTGTCACCAATTTAATAGTCTCTCCTCTAAGTTACAATACATTGCTGTTTTCTCAAATAGGCACAGTGCCTATTAGAGAAAACAAAAATTTAATGGCAAACATTAAGGATTTGGCAGAAATACTATGCGTGCTAGTGGCTTTACAAAAATGTGAGAACCCTTGTATAATATTAAAAAAAAAAAAAAAAAAAACCTGAAGTCAGGTGTCTCAAGGAGTTAACTCATGGAGGATGAATACAAACCCATCAGAGCAGATATCTGAGTGGGGTATGGTTTGTGGTCATTGTTTTAATTTTTTGGTCCTTTCAGCAGCTTTTAGTTTCATTTGTGCACATTTCACTTTGTGGTTTTATTCGTACCATTCCTGCCTCTATTAGGTTTAACCACTGTGACACGCTTTGTTTATTGGGACGTTCCCCTTCAGCACCGAAAATAAAGTGTTTGCCAAAAAATTTTGATCTTTATAAAAGCATAAATTCCCTTCCCTGAACACGTACATGTAAAAAAAATAAACAATCCCACTTTGGCTGTGGGGACGTGTAGAAGGGAGTGTGTGACATCATCACTGGCTTATTTTTTGCGTGAAGCTCCCAGAGGCGATCGCACTGGCCATTCAAGCCCCACGAGTTGCCACAAATATATTTTCCATTATTTGTTCTATGTATTTCCAATGCAGTTCATTTTTTAATTTTTTATTGTATATGATGCATATTTGTGTTCTTTACAATAAGATTTTATGTGTATATTAGAACATTCATAATGTTCCATTGAACTGTGATACATGTACTCGCCTAATTGTGCTTGCGGGGGTTGAGCTTTGGCTCTTTGGTCCCGCCTCTCAACTGTCAATCAACTGGTGTACAGATTCCTGAGCCTACTGGGCTCTATCATATCTACATTTGAAACTGTGTATGGAGTCAGCCTCCACCACATCACTTCCTAGTGCATTCCATTTATTAACTACTCTGACACTGAAAAAATTCTTTCTAACGTCTCTGTGGCTCATCTGGGTACTAAGTTTCCACCTGTGTCCCCTTGTTCGTGTCCCACCCGTGCTGAAGAGTTTGTCTTTGTCCACCCTGTCAATTCCCCTGAGAATTTTGTAGGTGGTTATCATGTCTCCCCTTACTCTTCTGTTTTCCAGGGATGTGAGGTTCAGCTCCTTTAGCCTTTCCTCGTAGCTCAATCCTCTCAGTTCCGGGATGAGCCTGGTGGCATACCGCTGAATCTTCTCTAACTTTGTCTTGTGTTTAACTAGGTATGGACTCCAGGCTGGAGCTGCATACTCCAGGATTGGTCTTACATAAGTGGTATACAGGGTTCTGAAAGATTCCTTACACAAGTTTCTGAAGGCAGTTCTTATGTTGGCCAATCTAGCATATGCCGCTGATGATATTCTTTTGATGTGGGCCTCTGGGGACAGGTTCGGTGTGATATCAACCCCCAGATCCTTCTCTCTATTTGACTCTTGCAGGATTTCCCCTCCCAGATGATACCTTGTGTTCAGCCTCCTGCTCCCTTCGCCTAATTTCATCACCTTACACTTTCCCGAGTTGAACTTTAGCAGCCATTTTCTAGACCATTCCTCCAGTTTATCCAGGTCTTCCTGTAGTCTCTGTCTATCTTCATCCGTCTTGATTCTTCTCATAATTTTTGCATCATCAGCAAACATCGAGAGGAATGAGTCTATACCCTCTGGAAGATCGTTCACATATATTAGAAACAGGATGGGTCCAAGTACTGAGCCCTGTGGGACTCCGCTGGTGACATCTCGCCACTCTGATGTCAGTAATGTGTGTTGAGAGTGTTGCCCTCTCAACACTGAGTGTTGAGAGGGCACCGGTTGCATAGGTGGTTGCTTGACCAGTTATGCAGGAGACTGTTCTTTGCCCGATGAACAGAATTACCCCGGAACTCTCAGTTTCTGAGATGGCGCTGGAACCAATCATATTGGCGTTTGCCTTTCCATTGGAGACTTTCGGCCCCGTGGAGAGGGGGAAACCTGCTGCCTGGGTAACAGCTTCTCCTCCATATCAACCTACCCTGGCTTTGTGCCCGGGTGAGGCCACTCCAGACCTACAACTAGAGCGCAACTCCATAGTCTCCTGAGACTGATGGATGCCTACTATTATATATCATGCCATGGATCCCAAGGAAGTCAGTGGTAAAGTTCAACCTAAGAAAATAATTGAGTAGAAGCAGTAGAGGATGTCCCTTCCTCATCAAGAAAATGTGTGAAGTATGGGAAGAACTGCAAAGATTTGCTGAAAAGACTCGCCCAGATAAAGCTGTAGCAGGCCAGTGCATGGACCTTTTTAATGACAATGTGATAGCTTGCTACAGATAAGTGTTAAAATGTAGGGAAAAGCAAGTATCTTTAGACAGATTCTTAGTAAAACAAACAAGTAGTGAGCAACAACCAGGTCCTAGTGGTATGCCTGGAAAACATAGAGAAAGTACCCCAGAAAAGTCATCACTGGCTGATGTTATAATAGAAGGGGACTCCCCTTCCAAACAGTAACATCTCCTCCTCTCCCCCCTCCTCACCATCTTCCATATGCCAACAAGAGTTCTCATTAAAGGTAAGATATACTTGTATATACTGTAGTACAAAATATAAGTAGTAGTGTACATAAAATGCATTTTTGTTAATATTTTTGGGGGTGTGGAATGGATTAACACTTTAGTCCGGGCATGACGCAGCATTGCATCATCTGTTTACTGTCGGTAATCTCGGGGATTACCACTAAAATAATGCCAAAATGCATCCACTAAAATAATTGCCAAAAATCAGGTTTTTATCCGATTTTTTTGGGACTGTCAACAAGCCGAATGCAATCTGTGACTACAATACAAACATGAAAGGTGTTGATTACTTTGACCAAATGATCAGATATTATCACTTCATAAGGAAAACTCACAAATGGATGAAGAAAATGACCATCTATTTTGTGCAAATGGCTATCTACAATGCTTATGTGATGTACAACTACTACACAAAAAATACTAAACTATAATACTACATATACTAAAATACTAAATACTAAACATTTGTGGGCAGGAATTGGGAGTGTAGCTGGAAGGCGTCTGGGCGCTCACTCGCGGTTAGCGCGTGGCCCGTCTTCAACTCGTCGGCGGGTGGAGCGTGACCAGGTTTTTTATTTTATATGCCAATGTTCCTCTAGAGAATTCTATTGCGAACCCATTGATACCAAAATGAAAGACCTAGGACGAAAATTGAGGTGACCAGAGTGAAAAGAGTGAACACATTTTATTGCTTTTGCGCGCTCCTGGGTAACTCGTTTGCACTTTCTCTGTTTCCTGGGGGTAATTAGCCGGGCTTTTGGAGTTTAAATGCATTTAGTGCTGTAGAGAATTCTATTGCGAACACAATGATACCAAATTTAATCTCGTAGGACGAGAATTAAGGTGACAAAGTTGAAGAGAGTATACACTTTTCGGAATTAACGTACGCTCCCGTGAAACTCTGGGACCCAAATCGCACAGTTGAGGGGTAGCGGGCGGGGCACACCAAAGTGTTAATTCAATTTACATTATTTCTTATGGGAAAATTTGTTTCAGTTTACGAATCGTCTCTGGGAATGGATTAAATTAGAAAACGGAGGTACCACTGAATTCACTTTATACTCTGAAAAAATTAAGCTGAAAAACAAACCTAAATATTCCTAGGCCTAGTATAGCACACATGTACTATATTAGGCCTCAGTATACATTAGGCCTAAGAAAGTTAGGTTAGTTTAGTTTAGTTTGTCTTTGCAACATAAATAGAAAATCCTTTCCGGTATGTCCGAATTCAGTAGTAACTATTTCTAATTGTGTTCTACGTTGGTATATGTACTATGGTCCTCATGGTTACTATAAGTACAGTACTGCCAAAACAGGAGGATGGAGTTCTTAAACATTCATCTAATGAAAGAGTGTTTAAGCTTCTAAATTTGAAACATAGTTTGTGTTTTCTTTTCAGGGGTGTTCTTCTGAGCAGTGAATCAAAGCTAAGTTCACTCAAGACAATGATGCATGGGAGCAAGACATCAAGTATTACTTCAGGGTTTCATCAGCGCTCACTTCTCTGGTCTAGTGATGACTTGGTGTCAACGGAAACAGGAAGTACACCTCAGTTAGCCACCAATACATCGCATACATGTCCCATTTACTTCAATGCCACAGAAAGTTTGAGGTTAGAATATTTGATTATTATAATTAACATGCTTTATAACCATTAATACTTTTATGCCTGGAATTTGTCTTAGTTTATAAAGAACTGTAGTGGGTTTGTGATCATTAATTTTAATGTCATTTACATTAGAATGCAAGGATTAATAAGCCATAATTATTCTGTACTGCACATGCCTAATGTCAACAGCGTTGAGATGGGAAATTGGGATAATTGACACACAAATCTTATTTTGATGTTGGTTTTGCTATTTTTTTTACATTGGGTCTTTACAGTCTGTATAGAGAATAACCAACAATAATGTAACTGAAACAAGTAACAGAGACCACACTTGAAATGAAAATAAAAATCATGACTTGCCAAAGGTCAAGGATGGACCAAAATGTCATCACTTTCAATTTATTTCACATGCGTGGGTTGGGTTATTTACAGTGTGTTACAACCAGTTACCAGAAGTGAGTCAACTTGGTCAACACCTTTTCTGTTGTCTATCTTGGTGGTATGTCAACATTGTTTCCTCCACCCTCGGCCAACTTTTGAACACCACTAACATGGCAGACATTTCATCCTTTGCAAGAAGACCATACCCAAGGTCCTCTACGTCTCCCTTTAACCAGTTAAACATTATCTCTGCTCACCACTTCCTCAGAATTTCTAGACATTTTAACAATGTAATTTTCAATTCCTTCTGAATCATTTTGATCACTCCCATAATCACCAACAATCATGAGAGAATAAAAATTATATTAACACTTATAGCTGCTCTGGAGAAGGTGCAAACACCGGGCAACAAAAATCATATCAGAGCTTAATCATCTCTCCTCGTGTCAGTAACGGTTGAGGGCCACTGGGTTAATAACACTGCAGACCAGACATGACAGGGCGGATCACATAGAAACCTTCAAAATACAAAACAATTTGGACTATGTAGATCCTGACACTTTCTTCAAAAGATCAGATATAACACGAACAAGGAGCAACGGGTTAAAGCTCAACAAGCCCCAATGTAGGACAGAAAACAGTAGGAGATACTTTTTTCACCCATAAGGTTGTAAACCCATGGAACCGCCTTCCCGCTGAAGCCGTAGTCGCCAAAACTCTGCTGGGTTTTAAAATACAGATAGGAAAGGTCATCTGGGTAAATGGGGGGACCTTTGACAAGCTTCCTGTCCTTGTTGGACAGGATTTACCTCAAGTAAATTCAGGTAAATAACAATCATGAGAGAGATGATAACAAGAGTGAATAGAGAGATCATGATTGCTGGTACTCGGTGACTTGAAATCTTAAAATTCATAGACTAGGAGGCCTATGAAGCAAGAACTAAGGACTTTTGGACTGGTAGATTCATAAACCTCATCCTGGAGACATTCATGTATCAACATGTTCAACAAGCTATGAGGATGAGGGAAGAGAATGTTCCTTCAATGCTGGATTTGATATTAACCAGGAGAGAGAGATTTGACATTCAGTTCCGTTCCCTGTTGGGCAAAAGTTATCATGTCCTTTCAGAAATAAAGTATGCAATGCATTATAATCTAGAAGAGAATGAGGAAAATGAAGCAGATGAAAAGCCTGATTTCAGGAGAGGACACTGTGGGAAATTTAGAAAGTTCTTTAATGAATTTGATTGGAAAGACTTGCTGTTATGCAAGTGTGTAAATTAAATGTACGTCAAATTTTGTGAAAATTTGTGATGGAGGCACAACAAAATTTATACCAATCCAAAAATGCTGAACTGGGACTCAGGATTGGATTCAAGAGTGGTAGAATTGGACTCCAAGGTCCCTTTCATCATCAATCTGCTGTAATGTAAGGGTATTAATTTGGTAGTTGTGGTGTGGGTTGTTATGCCCCACATGCAAGGTCTTGCATTTGTCGATATTAAAAAGCTTCTGCCAGTCTTTTGACTATTTGTGGAGTTCATGTAGATATCTTTATAAGGCTTCAATATCATTATCATTTCCCACTTTACCATAAATCTTTGTGTCGTCTGCAAATTTGATGACGTGGTTTGTAATGTTCACATTTATGTCATTGACGTATATGGCAAAAAGGGTATGTCCCAAAATGGATCCCTGTGGCAACCTACTTAACATATTTCTCCATTCAGATTCATTTCCCTTTAGCATGACCCTTTGTGTTCTTTCCTTCAACCATTGTTTTATTCATTCTAATATTTTACCATTTATTCCAGGAGTCTGTAATTTCTTTGCCAGTCTTTCATGTGGTACCTTATCAAAGGCTTTAGCAAAATCCATGTATACTACATCCACCAAAAGGCTTTTGTCTGAGTAGTTGGTTACCTTTTCTAAAAATGTGAGCAAATTTGTAAGGTAGGATCTGTTTTTAACAAATCCATGTTGTATTGATTGTACAAGGTTGTTGTGAATTAGTGAATTATTCGAATTGGATAGTGAATTATTCCCTCCCTGAGGATTTTTTCCACGAGATTGTAGATGTGTGATGTCAAGCTGATAGGATTGTAGTTTGCTGCTGAGCTCTTTCTGCCTTTTTTGAAAATGGGGTGTAACATTTGCATATTTCCAATCTAGAGGGACTACCCCTTGCTCCAGGGGTTTTGTGAAAAGTAGTTTCAGTGGCAGGCATAGTGCTTCTCCCAGTCCCTTTAAGACTTTGGATTGGATTCCAGCCACACCTGGAGTTTTTGAGACTTTCAGTTTGTCAATGTTCTTTCTAATTATTTCACATATTGTGGGGTATATCCCTAAATTCATTCTCCTCCCCTCTTTCAAACATTTGTGTGGGTGATGGAATGTCATCCAAGCAGTGAACACTGATACCTAGTGATTGCCCTCCTAGTGAAGCTGCCTCTGCTTGCAGCCCTCCTATTCTCTTCTCACTTTGCTTTCTCTCCTCCTCGTCTCTTATTAATGACTATTTTTTTCATCAATTTTGTTATGGGACTGACATTTTATACCTGCTCTTCTTTCATTTGGGCCTTTGTTAGGATTAAGGTATTTTGTAGGATTAAGTACTACACAGGTTAGGTGAAAATGTTTTGAGCATAATGTTGGGTGGCAACTGGCAGCGGTGTGTGGCTCAGGCAGGGGGGGGGGTGGCAACTGGCAGCGGTGTGTGGCTCAGGCAGGGGAGGGGGGGTGGCAGCGGTGTGTGGCTCAGGCAGGGGAGGGGGGGTGGCAGCGGTGTGTGGCTCAGGAAGGGAGGGGGTGGCAACTGGCAGCAGTGTGTGGCTCAGGCAGGGGGATGGGGTGGCAGCGGTGTGTGATTCAGGCAGGGGAAGGGGTGGCAACTGGCAGCGGTGTGTAGCTCAGGCAGGGGGATGGGGTGGCAGCGGTGTGTGGCTCAGGCAGGGGGGTGGCAACGGGCAGCGGTGTGTAGCTCAGGCAGGGGGATGGGGTGGCAGCGGTGTGTGGCTCAGGCAGGGGAAGGGGTGGCAACTGGCAGCGGTGTGTAGCTCAGGCAGGGGGATGGGGTGGCAGCGGTGTGTGGCTCAGGCAGGGGGGTGGCAACTGGCAGCGGTGTGTAGCTCAGGCAGGGGGATGGGGTGGCAGCGGTGTGTGGCTCAGGCAGGGGGTTGGCAACTGGCAGCGGTGTGTGGCTCAGGCAGGGGGGGGGGTGGTAACTGGCAGCGGTGTGTGGCTCAGGCAGGGGGGGTGGCAACTGGCAGCGGTGTGTGGCTCAGGCAGGGGGGGGGGGTGGCAGCGGTGTGTAGCTCAGGCAGGGGGATGGGGTGGCAGCGGTGTGTGGCTCAGGCAGGGGGGGGGTGGCAGCGGTGTGTAGCTCAGGCAGGGGGATGGGGTGGCAGTGGTGTGTGGCTCAGGCAGGGGGGTGGCAACTGGCAGCGGTGTGTGGCTCAGGCAGGGGGGGTGGCAACTGGCAGCGGTGTGTAGCTCAGGCAGGGGGGGTGGCAACTGGCAGCGGTGTGTGGCTCAGGCAGGGGGGGGGGGGGGGGGGTGGCAACTGGCAGCGGTGTGTGGCTCAGGCAGGGGGGGTGGCAACTGGCAGCGTTGTGTGGCTCAGGCAGGGGGGGTGGCAACTGGCAGCGGTGTGTGGCTCAGGCAGAAGGGGTGGCAACTGGCAGCGGTGTGTGGCTCAGGTAGGGGGGGTGGCAATTGGCAGCGGTGTGTGGCTCAGGCAGGGGGGTGGCAACTGGCAGCGGTGTGTGGCTCAGGCAGGGGAGGTGGCAGCTGGCAGCGGTGTGTGGCTCAGGCAGGGGAGGTGGCAACTGACAGTGGTATGTGGCTCAGGCAGGGGAGGTGGCACCTGGCAGGAATGTGTAGCTTAGGCAGGGGAGATGAGCCATTGCAGGGTCACTTGAGGCCAAACCTGGCAAATTAACCAATATTTACCGATCTTCTTTTTCATTAATTACTGCTGCTTTCCTAGTTACATCACTTATTTGCAAAAGCCCTTCATTTGAATACACATTAACTATACATAATACATTATAGTACAGTACTGTATTTTTAACAAAATCGATTTTATTTTTCAGGCTAGAAACTGAACTTCGGGGATGGTTTGAACACAAATTCAGACCTTCAAAGTCTGAAAAGAAGAGGGAAGATAAACTTCGAACATCTCATCCAAAAACAAAAGAGGGAAGATCTCTACGTGCTATTCATGGAGATGTAATTCCAGAGACTCGCAAGCCTGTTGTCAATGAAGTATGGAATGCCTTGGTGCCTCCCTCCCAGCCACCAACCCGTCTTTACCGCTATATTCACCCTGATGTCCTGCAGGTGGATCCTTCTACCAGGTATTGTATAGCCTATATATTTTACCTCATTTAAAATAGAGTAAAACTTTTATTGAAAATGTATTTTACTTTGGGAAAAAGTAATACTGTCACTAGTACCCCTTCATTCATTCACTCATTATCATTACTATATTTACAGAGAGTAATCACACTAACGTGATTGCATCAATGAGAAAATCAGTAGGAGTCGTGATGGGGATTCGAACATTTGCGGTGGGTGTTCCCAGGCACATGTTCTAGACAACTAACTATGTGGTGACTTAGTTGTCTAGATCATGTGCCCGGGAACACTCGGCGCATAGGTTCGTATCCTCATCACAGCTCCTACGGATTTTCTCATTACTACATTACCATATGCATGAGATGGGACAGCGTCTGGTTGCAGGAAAAAAGAAGAAGAAGAAAAAGTAAAAGAAGCTATAATCCTAAAAATGGAAAGATCACTTTAATATGTTGTTCTTGTATGTTCTAGAAAGAGATTAGCAACTCTTTCCAGCCATTCAATCACATCCTGCCTCTAAATTTTCACCAGCATGTTGAAACATGCCAAGGATTTAATTAGTAAATCCCTTAAAACTCGTATTTTTTCTTTCTCCTTTACGGGAGGTGTGAGGAGTTTCTTCCATGAATTCTTTTTTTTTATTATTTATATATACAGTAGTACTTTCGTTTGATTTTAATCTGTTCTAAGAGACGAATTATACACCATAAAATCGTAAACCAAAAGGAATTTTCCCATAAATAATATAAGCTTGAATTAAACCATTCCACATGTCCAAAAATATTAACTTAAAAATAAATGTTATACAGAACTTTTGTATTTTGTACTCGTATTTCTGTGGGGAGCCCCTCCTGCTCCCTGGAGCTATTGGACTGATATGTGATATATTAGTCAGGGGGCATCAGTCAATTGGAGTTCAGCCTACCAAAGACCACGAGCCAGAACCTGGCCCCCTCAGAGAGGCAAAGGGAACAATGGCCTAGGGAAATCCCCCTTGTTCTTGGGGGCATTCCATGTCTGCCATCGACTGGGGTTAGCACCCAGAAAAGTAGGCATAACAAGACAGACCCCACATTGTAAAAAAAATTGCAACCAGAGACTGAACAGAGAGGCAGAACTCCCCCAACCTAAAACAAGCAAATGTCACACCCCGCCACCACACTGCTAGTTCGCGCATCCCTTCCCTTCCCGGGAGGGGGAAGGGGAGCCCTGGACTCGCCATGCCAGCTACTCCACAACTCCAATTTGTTGCTGATGAAATCTGGGGCGGTCATCAACTCTGGCCTCAGAGTCATAGCTGTATCTCTACCCAAGTGGTGTCTTCTGTTGTGTGTGGTGCAGTGGCCCAGGAGATATTAAGAGTACTGGGGCTGCATGCATTTAGAGCTGCTTCTCTTAAGTGTCCTGTAAGTACTACCCTTGGGTTCTAGGGCTGCTTTCCATAGAGCCTTCGGGAACCACTTCCGTAGGGGTTTTTTGCTGCTCGGCAATTATCCTGACCTTGGGGCCAGCTGGGGTTTTCTTGGACTTTGTTTGGCCTTGGGTAGAGAGCAGTTTTGTTTGCAAGATATTGCACAGCTTGCTTACCTAGGCGGCGGCCGGTTCCTGTTCCTCTGGTGATGGCTTTTGCAGGGTTTTTCTTTTTTTTTTTTTTTCCTTGCCTAGAGATGGGGGGGGGGCCTAACTTGTTTGGCTATTGGTCCACTTCTGGTATTTTGGTGGCCCTCATCTAGGCCCCTGTGATTGTACATGTCGCAGGGGCTCAGTTTTTAGCAGTTTCCCCTTGGTAGTTTTTGGGAATAACCAATTTTGCAGTACCTTTGTCTGGGCTTCCAGTAGCAGTCAGCCTGCGGGCCCTGAAAATCCCCATAGGGGCTCAGTGGACTGATAGATGTGTCTTTCAAGTTCCACCTCGCCTTGTGTGAGTTTGAAGGTTGCTCTGTGCCTTTGTCTCAGGGGTGACAGTCACCTGTTTTTCTCCGTCATGCTGATGGAGTTGATCCTGGTGGGTCAATGACACTCTTGTCCCAGAGTCTTGAGAGTCATTTTCTCTGCTCGTACTCCAATTTACCCGTTGACTGGTACCCACAGTCTCAGTACCTAATGCCCGCTAATTCCACTGATGTAAATGAGGTAATCCTTTCCCTTAAGACCAAGTCTAGTGCCCTTGCAGAGATACCAACTCTAATCTACAAAAAAGCCTCCAGATCTTCAGCCCCTGCCATTGCATTGATCTACAAGAAGTCACTTGAACTCCAAACTTTTCCATATATTCTAAAAAAAGCGAGAGTAACCCCATTCCATAAATGTGGTGATCTCACTGATGTCAACAACTTCAGACCTATATCAATTCTGCCAAACTTCTCAAAAATATTTGAAAAACTAATCTACAAGCAACTTTACTCTTATCTAGCCAAACACAATATACTACGCTCTTGCCAATATGGCTTCAGACCCCAAAAAAAAGCACTAACGATGTACTTATTAGTATGATTAACTTGATACATGCAGCTCTTGATAAAAATGAGTTCCCTGTTGGGATATTTGTGGACCAACGTAAGGCTTTTGACACTGTCAACGACCAAAACCTTCTTCTTAAATTACATCATTATGGAGTCAGAGGTCACTCCCTGCAATACCTTCAGTCCTACCTTACTGACAGGCTCCAGTATGTTTCTGTGAATAATTCCATTTCTCCGACACTATCTATAAACATCGGTGTTCCACAGGGCAGCATACTTGGCCCTCTCCTCTTTCTCATCTACATTAATGACCTTCCAAATGCCTCCCAACACCTCAAGCCAATCTTATTTGCTGATGACACAACTTTCATCTTCTCTAGTCCTGACCCTCTTGCTCTAAATGTCACTGTGAATACTGAACTAAATAAAGTCCATCTTTGGCTAACTGCTAACACACTCACCCTTAACATTAACAAAACTTTCTATATTTTGTTTGGTAATAAATCCTCAAATGAAATTAATTTAAGAATAAACAATATACAAATCAGTAGTAAAGTTGATGATAAATTCCTTGGTGTCCTCATCGATAACAAGCTGAATTTCCAGCGACACATTCAAAATATAGCAAAAAAAGTTTCTAAAACTGTTGGCATTCTTTTTAAGATCAGATATTATGTTCCTTACCCTGCCCTGGTGATGCTCTATTACTCTCTCATCTATCCATACCTCAACTATGGTATTTGTGCTTGGAGTTCTACTACCCAAAATCATTTACGTCCTCTAATTACCCAACACAAAGTTGCTATTAGAACAACATCTAACTCTGGCCCCAGACAGCACTTGGTACCCTTACTCAAATCTCTGAATATGTTAGATATTAAGTCACTGCACATCCTCTCTTGTGTACTCTATATATTTAAAACTCTGAATTGTAATATCAATCCTGACCTTCAACGCTTCCTAGAAGGTTGTAACAGAACTCATGTGCACCACACCAGAAACAAATACCTATTTGATATTCCAAGAGTTAGTTAATCAAACTAAGAATGCTCTACAAATCAAGGGACCTAGAATGTGGAATGACCTTCCCAATTATGTCAAAGATTGTTCCTCTCTTAACCAGTTTAAGATGAAAACTAAGTACTACCTATTTTACTCCATGTAACCTACCTACCTTCTAAATGTCAACCCATGTCTTACTATTTAAAAAAAAAAAAAAAAAAATTGCTGTTTGTTGACCAACTTGTATATTGGTCATTTTCTACCATGTTCCCCTCTTTTTTTTTATCTTTTATTATTTTTTTTTTCATTCAACAAATTTTATACTTTAAGTTCAATTACTATTAAGTTTTAGTCTGTTTTTTTCCCCACCTCTCCTTGCCCGAAACGCTATGCGTACTAGTAGCTTTAGGTATTGTATGTACTACCTCTATCTTTAAATCTAACAGAATGTTTGTACTGTAATTCTGCAACTATGTATGTACTGTTCCTAATTAAATTATTATTATTATTATTATTATTATTATTATTATTATTTTATTGACACTGAGGTTCAGGTACATGCGGCATCAGTGTTGCATGTTAGGATTAGGTTGCTGCTATGCACTAGGTAGGTTGGGTGCCCACATGGATGCCCCGAGGGTGCCCCGTTTTGGTTAGGCGTTGTCCACCCTGTTCCTTCCCCACCCCCCCTTTTTCCCCCCGCTCCCAGCTCCGAAATGTCTGTGGGGATCGGGGCGGAGTTTAGTTAGTGTTGAGACTCGAGCGGCTTTGGGGGCTGCCCCTTTCGGGTTGGAAACGGAGGCATTCAAGCCTACTCCTCCTGCCGAGGCTTTTGGGTCCTACCAGCAGACTACCCCTTCTTTGCTGCCTTTTCTTCGGGTGGAAGGCATGGAGGATGGCTCTGCCCCGGGGCCTCTATTAGGGGTTCCTGGGGGCTATGGGGGGTAGCCCGCTTGCATTTCTGGGGCTGTTTGCCCATGCTTGGACTTTGTGCCTTCTGGGCAGGGGAGACGGTCATTCCTCCTCCAGTCTGCTTGTTTTCCACCATTTTGCTGGCATGATTTCGGCTCCCTTGCCTTGGCCACATCTCCTTTTGTTGTGGTGGCCATTTTCCTTTCTGTGGGCGCTTTCCTGCCTGGCCTCCAGGGCAGTGCTGCGGTTGGTTTGTTTACATGTGCCTGGGAGTGTGCGTTCGCAATATGGGGGGCGTTTTTTCACCCCCGTCTGTAATTTTTTATCTTCCCGTTGCCGTGCCTGCTTTGTTCTTTGTTTTGGTGCATTTTACCATTAATGTTACTCTGGGAACGTTTGGGTGTTGGTTTTTTCTGTTGGTTTTCTGTCCATGTTTGGTTTCAGGGCTCTGGTTTTTGGGCCCGGTGTCCATGCCTGTTTGCTCTGCTTGCTTCCTTGGCTTTTGACCCTCAGTTTTAAGTCCATTTCTGACTGTTTTGGCTGGGGGTTCTGTCTGGGGTCCTGTGTTTGGCCCTTTCTTCTGTGTTGCATTTCCGTCGGCAAATGTGGTGGTTTGGGCTCCCGCCTGGATTCGTTTTCGGGTTCCTTTGGGCTCTTCAGTTTCGTTCCTTAGGTTTTTCTAACTCTTGGGTTCCCCTTTGGAGGTTCGGGTGGCCCATGGTGGTTACCTCCTGTGCGCCCCGGACTTGCCTCTTTCTGGGGTTCCGGGGTCTTCCTGACTTGCAGACTGCACTTCTTGGGTCTTGGCACGTGTTTTGTGGTCGTGCCGGGGCTTTGGCTTCTGCTTCTGCTTATTGAGTTTTTTTCTTTTGCTTTTCTGCTGGTGGTTTCTCCAGAGATGTCTTCGTCTGGTCGGCACAGTGCTCGCTCTGCCTGCAAGTCGGTTCTTTGCTTTTCTTTTATTTCTTTTTTGGGGGAGCCCCTACGGCTCCCCGGAGCTATTCATGGCTGATATGGATACCCTGACTATTTTGCATCAGTTGATGTGGGTGGAGTTCTAGGCCTACTGGGGACCACGAGCCATTACCTGGCCCCCCCTCACAGAGGCATGAGGAGCAATGGCCCATAGAATTGCACATGTGATTTGGAGCATCCTATATCTGCCATCGACCGGGACAGGCATCCAGAAAGGTAAGCACCACAAAACAGACCCCTGTTCTGGTTAACAACTAAAAACATCAAACGAGTTGACAGAACTTCCCAAAGGAAAAACGAGCAAACAAGTATGACGTCACACGAGCCGCGCACATGTCTGCGCAGCTTCCCCCCTCCCCGGGAAGGGGGAAGGGGGAGCCCCAGACCTTCGCGCCGGCGATCCTCACCTCAGTTCCTCGGCAGATGAGATCGTGCATAGTCGTGTGGCTCCAGCTCCAGTCTTCTCTCAGTGCTGTTACTTGTTTTCAGTGCTGCTCTGACGGTGGTCTTGTGAGCTGGGAGTAGTATTCTCAGGTACTCGGGCTGCATGTGCTTAGGGTCACCTTCCCCGAGTGCCCTGTAAGTACTGCCCTTGGGGTTTCCTTCCACAAGTCACCTTGGGTCTACCTCTGTTGGCCTTTCGCTGCTTGGCGTTTGGCCGCCCCGAGTGTGTGGGAGGGGGGAGGATGTTTCCACCCCTTGTTGCCTTGGGGGTAAGTGGTAGTTATTGCACTGGTGGGGCATGGGGTACTGCGTAGCTAGTTTTCACCTTTAACAACGGCCGTGGTTTCCAGTAGGCAAGAACTCCAAGTAACTGATGCTCTAGACTAATATAACAGATATCAGTCCATTTGCTTCAGGGTGTCAAGGGTGTCAGTGACCCAACTGGCAGCATGATGGAGGCAAAAACGGTGACTGTCACCTTGAGACAAGGGCACACGGCAACCTTCAAACTCACACAAGGCGAGTTGGAACTCAGAAGAAGCATCCATAGGACTAATGAGCCCGAATGGAGATTTCCAGGGCCTGCAGGCTGACTGCTATGGGAAACCCAGGCAAGGTACTGCAAAACTGGCTGGGCCCAAACTAACAAGGGAAACTGCTAAAGGTAAACCTCTGTGACATGTATAATCACAGGGGGCCTAGAGGAGGGCCACCCAAACAACAGAATTGAACCAATATTCAAAACAGGCAGACCCCCATAGGCAAGAAAACAAAAATAATAGAAAACTCCGCAAAAGTACAACGTCCCCAAAAGGAAAAGAAACCGGCGCCACATAAGTAGGCGTGCTGCGAGGTACCTTGTGCCCCTACCAGTAAATGATATCACTTCCTTCTCAAGGCCAAACAGAAGCCACGAAAACCCCAGCTGGCCCCTAAGGGCGGGGTAAGAGCCGAGCGGCAAAGACCCCTGCAGGAGCGTTTCCCGAAAGTCCAATGGAAGGGAACCCTAGGGGTAGTACTTACCGTACTAGGGAAGAGAACCCTAAATGCATGCAGCCCAAGTACTCTCAAAGTTCTCCTGGACATCGTGCCTCACACATAGCAGAACACACACCTAAGGTACACAACTGCCTAGAATCTGAGACCAGAGTCAACGTTTGCCTCGGACAACATCAGTTGCAATGAACTGGGGTTGTTGGGTAGCCGACGTGAGGGATCCAGGGCTCTCTCCCTCCTCCACCTTGGGAATGGTGGGGGGGGGGTGGGTAGGCGCTGTGGGGGCAAACGGTGCGGCGGCAGTGTGTGTGACATTTCCTTCTTCTTTTAAGTGGGAGGATGGGGGGGCTGTTTTGTTATGCCTACCTTTCTGGTTGCCAACCCCGGTCGATGGCAGACATGGAATGCTCCCAAATACATGGGGGTTTCCATAGGCCATTGCTCCCTTTGTCTCTCTGAGGGGGCCCAGGTTCTGGCTCGTGGTCCAGGTCTGGCTGAACTCCAATTGACTGATGCCCTAGACTAATATAATGCATATCAGCCTAATAGCTCCGGGTCGCTTCAGGGGCTCACCCAGAAAGTGGAGTTTCATTACATTCGACGCTTTTTTGTTTTTCTCCTTTTCTTCCTATCAAGAGCCACTATGGGGCAGTCGGGTTCAAACCCTGGGCAGGCTGGTCTACTGGTAATCAATATTTAATGTTTCCTGTCACTTCACCCAGTTGTAATTGAGGACTTGGTTGTAAACCAATTGATGGGTAATGCTCCAGGAAAACCAGCAGTCTGAAATTATCTTCTGTACCTACCTGTGTTTAAAAAAAAAAAAAAAAAATACCCATTCTATTGAAGTTACATTGGCTGGTATTTATAATTTTCATTACCTGAATATTGTATCCAATAAAAATGGTTTAATTTTTAATTTATATATGATTAATTTGGTTAAAGAACCCAAGTCTTGTCAAGATTTCTGTACATGTATTTTACTCCCAACAGCACTGAAGAGGAGACAGCAGTAATGACAACAATTCCCAGGCTCTCCTCATTTCTTGAAGCTATCCAGCGTCGTGATGACACCTATTATGTTGTGTCCTTTTCTCCTGATCACCTGTTGGTTCCTGCTACTGCACGCAATGATTCTGCTCGGCCTCGTATGTCCCTTCTAATGCCAACACCTCGGCCAATCAATGAATCTCTTGCGCCCCCGGATGCTCATATTGCAATGATGCAGATTGATTGTGAGGTCATTCACACTCGCCTTGTCCATGTGTCGGAAGAAGTTGTACCTGCTCATCTACGTGCTGGTGGCACTAATGCATCACATCCATCTTCAGACAGTGCTTCAAATAATCGTCAGGAGAGGCGTAATACCCATGGCAGATCCCGACCTTTCCTTTCCAAGCCTATTTACCCAACCAAATAATTTACACACACACACACACACACACACACACACACACACACACACACACACACACACACACACACACACATACATACATACATACATACATACATACATGTATGTGTGTGTGTGTGTGTGTGTGTGTATATATATATATATATATATATATATATATATATATATATATATATATATATATATATATATAATATTAATATTACAGTGGAACCTCGGTATTTAAACTTAATTGGTTCCTGAAGTCGGGAAGAATGTCAAAATTTTATTACTGAACAATTTTTTTCTTATAAGGAATAATGTATATTGGATTGATCCGTTCCAGACCACAAAAATGAATATATTAATGCAATAAGTAAATGAAATAAGTGCTAATACAGTACACACTCACCTGCAGTTACGAGAGTTAATGGCACATGTGGAAGTTGGTGAAGTAGAGGAGGAGAGATGTTATTATTTGGCAGGGGAGTCCTCTACCATTATAACTTCGGGTGGTTGTGCTTCTGAAGTTCTTTCTCTTTTCTCTCTCTCTTTTCTGTTTCCCTCATTAGACTTACTTAATGCTTTTCTTATATATAAATTGTCCAAGAATGATTGCTTTTGCCTGTGCTTTAAAATGTTACTAGAGTGAGACATAGCATTGTCATTCAACAGGTTTATACTACAGTTTGTCACAGCTTTGTTATGGTGATATTTTTCAAGAAAACTTTGCACTTCCCCAACATTTTGCACACATTTCTTTTATTAGAGAACTAGATTCAGGCATACCAAACTCGGTAGCAAGAGCAGACACATGGGCACCACTTTCATATTTTGCTATGAAATCTTTCTTCATCTATATCGTGGTTCTAACCATTTTTCTTTTTGCTTGGCTCTTATCACAAACTTTATTAGGTGACATGGTGACTTATTTACACTAAGAATATCCAAAATATCTAAGAGAAAGTGTAGTGAGTTGTGTACTGAACGACAGCAATGGCGAAACTGGCGCATCAGGGACTCGTGTTTACATGTGAATGTCGAGCAAACGAATGAATACCGAACATGGACACAGCGTCCAAATGCCGAAATGTTTGAATTCAAAGCGGTTTGAATACCGGGGTGTCACTATATGTATATATATAATGTGTATGTATGTATGTTGTACCTAATAGGCCGAGTTGCCTAGCAAGCCGAATTTTATTGAAATTTTATATTTTTCACAATTTTTTTCATAAATTGCTTTCCATTACACTATATTGTATATGATTTGATTTTTCAGTGAAATTAATATAAAGTTTTATGGAACGTAGCCTATCTAACCTAAGTCATTAATTCACATTCTATACATTGTAGTAACTAGAATAAACCAATGTGGGTAGAAATATTTAAAATAATGAAAATCACTCTGCTTGTTAGGCAAATTGGTCCTTGCATTCTAGGCCAAGTAGTGTGATTCCAGCTACTAGTATGGCATATAATTTATTTATTTAAATAAATAAATAGGTTGATTGTATATAGCATTAAGTCGTACATTTAAAATGTAAATTATGAATGTAGTCAAAGCAGGTTTTTCATTTCAAGGTAACCAGGCTTTATACTGAGCAATGTGAAATTTTGAGTGTGGATTATGCAAAAGTTATGAAACTGTAGTGTTAAAAGAGGTAGATACTATTTTGTGCACTAGTGCATGATATATCTACAAAAATCAAATTCTTGTTATAAATGTGTCATAATTATTTTTAATGGTTGTACAAACTTGTGTGCATATGGTTGATGATTTTATAGACTTGCGACACCTTTTTCTGACATTGATGCTGAGTGCTGTTACATTGCAGAGATAAGTTGTATATTTGCTTTTACATATGTAGGTATATTTCTGAAATATTTGAAGTGACCTTCAAAATGATATCATTCCATGATCTCAGCTCATTATCTTCATTCTTTATTCCCCTTTTTTATGATTTTCATATTTTATATAGGTATCAGTGAAAGTTATTAATAAACAGGTGAATTACATAACTTGAGTTCAATCTATAAGTTCCGGTAAATATTTTACCCAGTTGTATATTGTGCCTACATTCGGGTGCTTTTAAATTAGCAAATGTGTGAAATAAGCAATGCAACAACATGCATCTGTGTTGTGTGTGTGTGTGTGTGCTGGTGTAGGGTTAAACTATTGTGTTCTCTCCGAGGGATAAGTACAAGATAGGAGATTTCTATTGTAATTAAATGCTTATTATTTTCTTAAGAGCGCCACAATAATTTTCCAGTCACTTTCCAGTGGGTCAGTCGTCTGGCCAGGTCCTTCACCACCCCAACCAAACCTCATACTATTAATGAAAGTTTCATTATTGATTGTAAATGTAATGATGAGTCTTTGTAAAATTTAATTAGTCAGTGTGTTTGTATTGATTTGAAAACTAGGAATAGTTCAAACTTAACCACAATGCATTTGTCTTCAGATGGTTCTTTTAGTGTAAATGTATTTTCGGGGGAAAGAAAATATAATTTCTTTTGTATGTAAATATTTATTTATATTATTATTTTCTAAAGAATTTATATGGCTGTGATTTTTTGTTGTTTCTCACATCTGCTAATGTGAATATTGACATAGTTTATTTGGTAAGTTTTGTTGCCATTATATTTTGCATCAGAACAGTGCAGAACTCTCATCATACGTGTAAATTTGGTGTATAACACTGTATTAATGACTACATGGTGTAGTCTGTATCAGTGACTGCATGGTGTATGCCCTGTATCAGTGACTGCATGGTGTATGCCCTGTATCAGTGACTGCATGGTGTATGCCCCTGTATCAGTGACTGCATGGTGTATACCCTGTATCAGTGACTGCATGGTGTATACCCTGTATCAGTGACTGCATGGTGTATGCCCTGTATCAGTGACTGCATGGTGTATACCCCTGTATCAGTAACTGCATGGTGTATACCCCTGTATCAGTGACTGCATGGTGGATACCCTGTATCAGTGACTGCATGGTGGATACCCTGTATCAGTGACTGCATGGTGTATACCCCTGTATCAGTAACTGCATGGTGTATACCCCTGTATCAGTGACTGCATGGTGGATACCCTGTATCAGTGACTGCATGGTGGATACCCTGTATCAGTAACTGCATGGTGGATACTTGTATCAGTGACTGCATTGTGGATACCCTGTATCAGTGACTGCATGGTGGATACCCTGTATCAGTAACTGCATGGTGTATACCCCTGTATCAGTGACTGCATGGTGTATACCCCTGTATCAGTGGCTGCATGGTGGATACCCTGTATCACTAAAATAGGCACTGGTTAAACATTGTTGTATATGGATACTGAAGATATTTATATAAATTGCATGACTAATGTATACAGCCATTCGTGATGGCTAATGATTGATGCACAGTTATTTTAGTTGACTGGGAGGTCTTTCCTCTGTTTCTCATGTCATGAAAAAAAATTGGTGCTTGGATACCAGGATTCGCTAGAGAGCAATATTTTTTACTTTTGTATGTAATTGGTATGGCAATACAGTATTGACCACCGTATTTGTTGTGCCCAAATATTTTTATGTGAAGTCATATAATTTAAAAGATTTTTCTTTAATTTTAATTTACCAGTTTTTCTTGATTTCATCAGTGGTGCCAGGACTGTCACATCTTGCTGTAAAGTTTGGAAAATACTTTAATGTATGTACAGTATACAGAAATAAAACTGTTCAATGGTATATGATGTATGAGAAGCAAATGCTTTTGCACTTTTATAATTTATTGTTATGAAAATAAAAATTGAATTGTGCATATTTCATTCTTTGGTACCTTTTATGATTTTTCTCAGATAAAATTGTTGTGAGGGTTGGGAAGGGGATTTTTCCAACCTAGTCTTATGACTGAGATTATTATTACCCAAGTGTAATTGCAGTATGAGAGCTATGCTTGTGGTGTCCAATCTTCCCAGTACTTTGTCATACAACGCTTTGAAACTACTGACAGTTTTGCCCTCCTTCACCTTCTCACTTAACTTGTTCCAACCGTCTACAACTCTGTTTGCAAAAGAAAACTTTATAATATTTTTTGGCAACTTTTGTTTCCTTATCTTGAATCTGTGACCTTTTGTTCATGAAGTTGTTGGTTCAGGAATTCCTCTGTCAATTTGGTAAATTCCTGATAGTATTTTGGTAAGTGGTGATCATATCACCTCTTTTTCTTCTATCTTCAAGTTTTGGCATGTTTAACCCTTATAATCCCTCTGGGATGCAACCCGTTCTCGAACTTTCGTATAGTCAATTATGACTTATTAAATACGTGCATATGTGACATACTAATTTATTGTGAATATTTTAGTTTACCTTGAAAAGCTTCATAGAAAACATCGACCGCATAAGAGGCTGGTACATAAGACAGACAGGTGTAGCTGGTAAGGTGCTCCAGTGGAAAAGGGAGTACCTAAGCAGTAGGAAGCAGATAGTTAGTGAGGGGTGAGACCTCAGATTGGCGTGAAGCCACCAGTGGAGTCCCACAGGGCTCTGTACTCGGTCCTATCTTGTTTCTGAAATATGTAAATGATCTCCCGAAGGATATAGATTCATTTCTCTCAATGTTTGCTGAGGATGCCAAAATTATGAGACGGATTAAGACAGGAGGATTTCTTGAGGCTTCAAGAAGACCTAGACAAGCTGAAGGATTGGTCGAACAAATGGTTGTTAGAGTTTAACCCAAGCAAATGTAATGTAATGAAGATAGGCGTAGGGAGCAGGAGGCCAGATACTAGGTATCATTTGGGAGATGAAATTCTTCAAGAGTCAGAGAGAGAAAAAGACTTGGGGGTTGACATTACGCCAGACCTGTCCCCTGCAGCCCATATCAAGATGATAACATCAGCGGCATATGCCAGGCTGGCCAACATAAGAACGGCATTTAGAAACTTGTGTAAGGAATCATTCAGAACTTTGTATACCACATATGTCAGGCCAATCCTGGAGTATGCAGCCCCAGCATGGAGTCCATATCTAGTCAAGGATAAGACCAAACTGGAAAAGGTTCAAAGATTTGCCACCAGACTAGTACCCGAGCTGAGAGGTATGAGCTACGAG